CGTCATCGTCAAACCGAAGACATTGAGAAGTTTTTTGGCATAAATGATGAGAATGGCCACCTTCTGATGGACCGAAAAAGGGTATTACAACGATGGCGTGAATATTTCGAGGGCATCTCAACGGTGGAATTCGCCCATCCCGCTCTACCCTGCACAGCACCAACATATGGTCCCGTTCAGAAGATCACCATACAGGAAACAGAAGCTGCTCTGAGGAAGATGAAGTCCGGCAAAGTTACAGGCCCCGACGACATAGCAGCTGATTTGTGGAAGTCACAGCGCTGGTTTTCTGCGGGTTGGTTGACGAAACTCTTCAACCAGATCGTCGAAGAGAAGAAGGTGCCCAATGACTGGCAGCAGAGCGTGACGATCCCGGTTTGGAAGAAGAAGGGCAGCCCAGCAGATTGCTCAAACTATCGTCCAATTCGCCTTCTTTCACACACCATGAAAGTCTTTGAGCGAATTATTGACGCCCCCGCGTTCGTGATATCGTCCAACTTTCCACCAATCAGTGTGGCTTCGTGGCGGGTTGTAGCACCGTCGACGCTATACATGCCGCTCGCCTACTGCTGGAGAAACACCGTGAGAAGCGAAAGCCCGTGCATGTAGCCTTCCTAGACCTGGAGAAGGCATTCGATCGGGTGCCGCGTGATGTTATATGGTACGCTTTGAGGCGGCACGGCGTGCCCGAAGAGCTCATTGAGTGGGTGCGCATCCTTTACTCATGCCCAGGGAGCCAAGTTCGCTCACCAGCGGGTGTCTCAGTGGAGTTCCCCATCACCGTCGGGGTACATCAAGGCTCTGCGCTCTCCCCACTTCTTTTCGTGGCCGTCATGGATGCCATTTCACGAGATCTTCAGAAAGAAGTGCCATGGACCCTGCTTTACGCTGATGACGTGATGCTTGCTTGTGAAGATAAGAGCGCACTGGAACAGCAGGTGCAAGCTTGGGCCGAGCGTCTGGCTAAGTTTGGACTCAGGTTGAACGTCAACAAAACCGAGTACCTGACAACTGACCCAAATGAGACGGGCTCCATTAAGATCGATGGCACGGTGCTCAAGCGCACGGAAACATTCAAGTATCTCGGATCAGCACTTGCGTCCGACGGCAGTCTGAACTCGGAAGTGAGCGCACGAGTGAGTGCGGCGTGGTCTAAGTGGCGATCCATGTCCGGGACAAGAAAATGCCGGAGCGGTTCAAATCAAAGATCTATCGTACTGTCGTCCGACCTGTCGCGTTATATGGTGCCGAGTGCTGGCCCGCGACAAAAGAAGTTGAGGCTCGCCTTGGCGTATGTGAGAATGGAAAAATGTGCGCATAGACGGCGGGCCTCACGGATCGGACCGCATGCTAATTGCTGTCATAGCGTTAAGAAGTATGTGTAGCCTCCATTAACGGAGAAGAAAATGCCGTTGAAACGCGCCTTCGATGGTATGGGCAACGTAACTTCGCCGCAAAGGTATAGCCGTCCGGAAAACTGCTCTCGAATTCGAGGTACCAGGAAAGCGGCCAAAGGGACGTCCCAAACAGCGTTGGCTCGACACGTTGCATACCGACTTGAAAATAGCCGGCATCCACCCTGATCAGGCATCCAATCGGGAAAAGTGGCGTAGTTGTATCAAAAGAGCGGACCCCGCGATCAAGCGGGACAAACGCTGAAGAAGAAGAAGAAGAAGAAAGAAGATTTTATGGCAGCAGAATTCCTACTACATAATCCGCTAAGTGTGTGTGTGTGTGGTGTGATGTTGTGTGTGTGTGTGTGTGTGTGTGTGTGTGTGTGTGTGTGTGTGTGTGTGTGTCACGAAATTCATAACACCTGTCCCAGTGGCAGAGAAACGTTGATTCCAGGAAGTGATGGAGGGGGTGTGACGGGAACACCATCAATGGGTGACAGCATTGTATCTATTTATTTATTTATTCATACACTGCGAGAGTGTGCTGTTACAAACACTGAAGAGCAAACACATTCTAAATTACAATTGAGGAACATAGTTATAATCAGTTATAGTTATAGTAAATAGTTATAGTTATAGTATCAGTTGATAAGATTCGATAAGAGGCCTCGGAAGGGGAGGGTCATCAAATTCGTAACGCAGGTTACAGCAACAGTGGGACCTCGGATCCGAGAGGCGATATAGGGTGATAGTGATACGGGACGGGAATATTATTGGCGGGTACGGAAGTGATAGGAGCTAAAAGTGACAAGGTAACATGGGAAAATCCGCTTCACCGCTCACAACAACAATGCGATCGATATGACTCAAGTATAACGATCTCAATGATTCCAACAGAACTCATTCCTCACTGCTTATTAGTAACGACATCATGTACGACCGCTAAGCTAGCTCTATTCCAAATGCATGGGGTTTGTTTACAGAGATGTTATGAACAGCAGCAATTGACTTAATCACTCTTACCACAATTATCTTCCATCAACAACCTTAGTGAGGGCCATTTAAAGGGTTCCACTGCTGAATGCGGGAGTGCATTCCAAAGCAAGACGCTTTAGGAGGACAGAATGCATAAATTATAGGCTGCTTCAGCGGTTACTAACAGGCTGCACTATTCCCGTGTAGGTTATGAACGTACCAGTCGGATCGCTGGCTAAGGCCGGCTCTCCTCCTTCTGTGATGCGGGGCGCTGCTGCTGCTTCTGCGTCTTGACGGAACGAGCGCTGCTTTTCAGTTCTTGGCTGATGCAGAAGATTCCTTTGAACAGTGTGGTTGGTCAACGATCCTTAACTTAGCACGCGGCAAATCCGCATGGCCCGGCGAAGCCGGGCCATGTCACAGAAGGAGGAGCGTCCGGACAGCTGGGCGATCCGACTGGTAAATAATAAATCGTACCGAAAGGCATGATTTGCGCTACCTTACTGCGCTGCACAGAGTCCGCTAATGATCGAAGATCAATGCTGCCGTGCTCGCAAAGGAAACGATGGCCATTTGATGGCCGTCTAAATCCACGCCAGGAAAAAATGGCGGACGAGTTCCACTGGCGCAAGTTGCCCACTTCGTGGTGGCACCACGCGACTCTTTAACTTCATTTGAATTAGGAATACTTCAATAAGAGCCGTTTTTTTGCGAGATTATCGCTTTTGTGCGTAATCATAGTTAATATTTTCGAGATCTGCTTCTGCTTCGATTAGGGAACACATGAAACCTGAGGTGCAACCGGAAACTTGAGCACACCAACTGCATCTTCTGTTTTTAGGGACTACATCCCGTCGGGTGCCACCATTTTCAGAAGTTCTGCCACTCAGCGTTGGATTTCAGCGCAGGAAGATATCTACAACCTATCCTCGGTATTCTGTGCACTCGGTCGCTGTTAGGAGCAGGGCACGCCATTGCGTTGTGATCATTTCCTGAAAAATACGACCCCCCCCTAATTCCATCTTCAAGTACGACCCCCCCCCATGTTACCTCTTCCCTAGATTTTTCCAACCTCCTACCACTTTGTCTATTTTTTCCCAAAAAATTTCTGGTTTTTTTTTTTTTACAAAATTTTGCTGTCGAGCGGGGGGGGGGTCGCAGTACCTACGTACGTCCCAAGCACGTCCAGAGGTCCAGCACTCTGGCGCTGGTGTAGCAGTACATTTGCACCTTCCAAACACCTGCGTGAAAGCCCCATGCATGGCGCATTGCAGAGGTGATGCCAATTGGCGCCCAATGGCCTATTTCCTGATACCCTTTGCGAAAACATGTGTTTTAGAAGCATACCAAAGTCTTCAAGCCAACTGGAGGTTTCATGGCCTCGGAGGGGCTGATTTTTCGTGTCGGGGGTGGTCACGAAATGATCACAACGGGGAATTTTTTCGAATAGCAGGCCTAGGAAGAAAATTAAAGCCTTGCTGGAAAGTAGAAATCTTCAAGCTTCCGGCACAATTCTTTTTTTACGAAAGGCCGTGTATGAAGCTTGCCATGGACGTCCAAAGCGTAGCGACTCGCGGTTCGCAAAAATGATCACAGACGGATCACAACGATGATCACAACGGGGAAAATCTCTGGAATCGGAACGTTTTTGAAATCGCTCAATTCAGGTGACAAGAGCCAACCTAGCTCTACTCATTCCCACTTACCCCTCTCCGATAGCTTCACTTTCAACGAAGTTATGGGTGTTCAAATGAGGGGTACTTTTCACGTGTTTGGCTTGAAATTGGCTCCAGGCCGTAAAATAGCGCGCACCAATGAGCTTGTATGAGCGCGCTGACCGCGAACAGCCAAAATTCAAAAGTAATCCATAGTTCCGGTTCCCAGCTGGCCTGGTGAGTTTTTTCTTATCCATTTGATTGTGAATTATTTTGATTGTTTGTTTTTGTTAAGTTTGATTTTGTTTTGTTGAGTTTGATTTTGTTGTGAGGAAATTGCTCAGGATTCAATTTCTACGGTTTCATAGGTAGCTTTTGCAATGGATTCTTTTCTAGATTTTGCGGATTAGTGGAATGGAGATATAGGACCGTAAAACACGGTAATTCCTCCATGCCCCGCTCAATGCCTTTTTGCGGCGCCGACTCCCGTTTATGGTAACGGCCGTCGTATATGCGTGTCGCGTGTGTTTTCTCCCATAAGCTCTGTTTACCTCTATAAGTCCTATCACTATCTCTCTATCACTATCGAGAGAAATATAAACCTCACTCATGGCAGAGTGAGGTTCAGTTTTATGGAATTTGCGGTTGTATTCTCTATGTTACGACAATAAAGAAGCTATGCTACCCGTCGTGGACCACAAGCTTCACAACATGGCGACCACGGAACTCCAAAAGAACCAGCAATCCGAAGAAAACGAAGAAAAGAAAGCAAGAGCAAGCTTTTCTACTTCAACAG